CAAAAAACCTAAAAAAGCAAAATACTTTATTGACCTTAAAAATTAACAATACGTTCACATTTTATGAGAAATCTCGTTAATTAATAGCACGATTTTACTTTTTATGGTAGAAAATTAAAATATAAGATATTCTTTAAAAAATACAACAAACAAATTGCTTTATTTTGCTAAAAATAATTGTTCAGATAAAGTTTTTTCTTAAAATTTATAAAATTTTACATAGGCAAATTACTTAATTTATTCACTGTAGATAACTACAGACGTTTTCAATAATTTTCTAATTAATATTTGGTTATTGTTGCATACATTCCTCACATTTTATAATCTTTCAATTCCAACATAAAATGTAAAATTTTAGACCATAAATGATTTCCAATATTAAATAATATTTAAATTTTGTAGTTAAAATATTACAACCTCATAGTCGCGACTATCGTCTTATTTAGTATTTTCGTCGTCATATATATGCTCTGCTTGCGCCCATTTCAAGTTCGTACATTGGCCTGAGCAGTTCGGTATTGAAAATCAGCAAAATCGGTTCACAAAGTAAAAAGTTATGAGTAAAAATTTCAGACTACCTCGAAAAAAATTAAGTTTTTTCCATAATTTTCGAGTATTTTTCAATGAATTCTATCACACGTTATTTATTTTGCACAGATATCAATTATGTTCAAACTCAAAACAATCGTTCCCAAAGTTTCCCATAGCATCCATACAAAACTTCGCAAAAATATCGGTATCACCACGAAATTTTGCACATATGTGTATAATATGAACAGAAATCATATTACCAACGTAAATCTGTATCGGTCGTCCATAAATGATCATAGCTCCCATATAAGGTCCACTTCCGAAAATCACTTAAATACACATAACTAATTAAGATATTAGAATAATATTCAACATAAGTATGTTTTGCGTATACATATATTTCTCTGCAAAATAGTTTTCTGATTGGTCAATAATAGGGCATAGCTCCCATATAAGGTCCACTTCCGAAAATCACTTAAATGCATATTGAAATAATCTTATTTGTAAGATTATTTTTGATCGCGAAACTGGTGTCGAAAACACAATTTAAATTTATACTTAGTACTTTTCTTAAAGAACTTCAAACTAATTTGAACCCGTCCGGTAAATAAAAACTGGACAAAGCTGTTCATTAGTTGAAGGCAGTAAGCTAAGTGATTTTATTCATGCAACTGGTGCTGCAATACATTGTTGTAAATTATAAGTAGTGATCATAATACAAGAACATGGTTGTATAAAAGTGTAATAACAAAGAAATCATAGAGTTGCATTTTATAAAGTCCATTAAATTTTAAAAGTATACATTAAATAAATTGTGATCAGATGAACAGAGTTGTATAAGAACTAAATTACATAGTTGCATTTGACTAAAATCAGTTAAATTCAAAAATAAACATGGAAAGTTAAATTTAAACAATGAAATGATATTATGGATGTTTGAAGTTAAGAAAAATGAATAAATAAATAATGAACTGTTTCAATATAACTAATTAAGAAATAAAGATTTTGGAATAATATTCGACATAAATATGTTTTATGTATACATATATCACTCTGAAAAATACTTTTCGGATCGGTCCGATACCGATAAATATGTAAATGCTCATATTTCATTACTGAGGATATATGTATAAAACTCATCATGAATGTGTTTAAAGTACATATAAAACACCATGCGAAATTTTTTCCGAATCGGTCCATATTTGGTCACAGCTCCCACATAAGGTCCACTTCCGAAAACCACTTAAAATCACATAACTAATTAAGAAATAAAGATATTGGAATAATATTTGACATAAATATGTTTTGTGTATATATGTATGACTCTACCAAAATGTTTCCGGATCGGTCATTAATTCGTCATAGCTACCATATAATGGACCACTTACGATAACCACGTAAATGGATATATATTATTACAGAATAAAGATATCGGTATAAATTTCGTAATGAATGTGTTTAAAGTAGATATAAACCACCCTGAGAAATATTTTTCGGATCGGTTCATAATTGGTCATAGCTCCTATATAAGATTCACTTCCAAAAATCGTATATTTCATTGATAAATAAAAATACCGGACTAAAATTCCTCATAAATAAATTTTTCATATATACAAGTCCCTCCTAATTTTTTTCTGGATGAGCACATAATTTGCCCGGTCTCCGATATACCGTCCACTTCCGAAAATTACTTAGCCGCTCATATATCATTGACAAAAAGAGATATCGCTATAAAAATTGACATGAGTATTTTTTGTATGTATAAATCATTCTGAAAAATGTTTGGATCAGTCCGTAATTGGTGAAAGCTCTCATATAAAATCCATTTCCTTAAATCACTTTACCCCATATATTTCATTAACATTTTGTGTATCGCGAAATTTTGTTCGGATTGGCCATATCTTCAGTAAGAGGTCCATAAACTAGATCAAAGTAATCTCCATAGGTGCATAAATAAAATTTTTTAAAACTAATAAAATTTATTAAAACTCTAAAACTATTTAGATGAGTTTCAAAAAGCTTACAGGTGAAGGGTGTTTAAGATTCGGCATAGCCGAATATAGCACTCTAAGTCGTTAAATATGATATTGAAATGGCGCAAAGACAATAAGCTTTCAAATTACAAGATAAAAGTAAGAAAGTATAGTCGGGCTTGGCCGACTATATGATACCCTACACCAGCTATTAATATTTAATGTGATTTATTTTTATACCACCATCAAAAAAGATGGGGGTATATTGTTTATGTAATTTCGTTTGTAACACATCGAAATATTTATCATGAAAGTATATATTCTGGATCTTTATTCAATTCTAAGACGATCTAGCTATGTCCGTCCGTCTGTCTATCTGTCTGTCGGTTTAAAACACGACAGAGTCCAAATGGAAGTAGCTAGCGGGCTGAAATTTTGCACAGACATTTTATATTGATGCAGTTTGTTTGGTATTGAAATTGGGCAATATTGGTCCACGAATTCGCCTAGCCCCCATATAAGGTCCCCTTCAAAAAATGACTTTAACGCTCATAACTTACTAAAAGAAGCATCTAAAGCAATGAAATTCGACATGGAACCTAAATCGCTCTGTAAAATTTTATAAGGATCGGTCCATAATTGACCCTACCTCCCATATAAGGTCCCCTTCAGAAAATGACTTTAAAGCTCATAACTGCCTTAAAGAAGTATCTATAGCGATGGAATTCGACATGAGCATATTTTATAGGAACCTTAATATGATTGTAAAATTTTATAAGGATCGGTTAATAATTGACCCTATCCCCCATTAAGGTCCCTTTCAGAGAATGAACTTAACGCTCATAACTGACTAAAAGATATAAGAAACAGCTATAGCGATGAAATTCGACATTAACATATTTGATAGCAACCTTAACACCTTCGTAAAATTTTATAAGGATCGGTCCATAATTGACCCTACCCCCCATATAAGGTGCCCTTCAGAAAATGACTTTAACGCTCTAAACTGTCTAAAAGAAGCAAATTCGACATGAACATATTTTATAGGAACCTTAATATCATTGTAAAATTTTATAAGGATCGGTCCATAATTGACCCTACCCCCCATATAAGGTCCCCTTCAGAAAAAGACTTTAACGCTCATAACTGCCTTAAAGAAGCATAGCGATGAAATTCGACATGAACATATTTTATAGGAACCTTAATATCATTGTAAACTTTTTATAAGGATCGGTTCATAATTGACCCTATCCCCCAAATAAGGTCCCCTTAAGAAAATGACTTTAACGCTCATAACTGTCTAAAAGAAGCATCTATAGCGATGTAATTCGACATGAACATATTTTACAGGAACCTAAATCGTTTTGTAAAATTTTATAAGGATCGGTACATAATTGATCCCACCCCCATATAAAGCCCCCTTCAGAAAATGGCTTTGACGCTCATTACTGCCTAAACTAAAATCGTTCTAGAATATTTGACGAGGATCGGTCCATAATTGACCAAAAAAGCAATTTATTGACGAAAAACTTATTTTCTAAAAGAGGCTTTATATGGGGAATAGGAGCAAATGTGGACCGACCCCGATAAAAAGGGCTGGATAGATTTATATTTATATAATATATTTAATATTTGTCTGTGCTAAACTTCATTACAATAACAGTGCTAATAAATGAATTGCGGATATTCAAGTCACTTTCTGAGGGGGGCTTTGTGTGGGGGCTAGGGTCAAATGAAGTCCGATCATTTCGAAATTCGGCAAGGTCATCAAGGCTTGTATAAAACTTAGTTGTGCGAACTTTCATCGAGATACATTTATATTATATATAATTATGAGCTCAAAAGCCCTTTTCGGGGGGTTCAGTTGTATGGGGGCTAGGTGAAATAATGGACCGATTTTAACCATTTTCAATAGTCTTAGTCCTTGGGTCAAAACAAACACGTATTCCAAATTTCATCGAATTATCTTGAAAATTGCGACCTGTACTTTGATAACAACGTTTACATGGACACACGGACGGGCGGACATCGTTAAATCGACTCACAAAGTGATTCTGAGTCGATCGGTATACTTTAAGGTGGGTATAGTACTAATATTTTAATGCGTTACAAACATCAGCACAAACGCATAATACCCTTCCCATTATAGTGGTGTAGGGTATAAATATATATTTTTTTTATTTTATACCCTTCACCTTCGTGGGAAGAGTATACGTACATATGTATATAAGTTTATCATTCCGTTTGTAATTTCTACAATATAATTTTCCGACTGTATGCGGTATATATGTATATTCCGAGTTCTTGTTGATAGCAAAGTCGATTTTGCCATGTCCATCTGTTTTTCGGTGTATATATTGAATAAATTTTCAGAAGACCGCAGACATCTGCGAGATCCGAATGTTCAATAATTCTATCGTGATGATACTACTAACTCACACATTATGAGAATTTGGATATTTTCGAAACGCTTAATTTTTGACATATTCAACTAACCTGAAAAATATGCATTTCTGAACGCGATCCACTGCCCCCAGAAACAATAAATACTAATATGTTATTATACAATTCCATAGCATCTGTAGATGTAAAAGCAGTTGGTTCTTGAATAAGCGTAGCAGGAAATCTTTCAATGATATTCTGAAAAAATTAAGAATTTATTTCTGAGATCTTTTATCAAAATCATATACTCACTCCTGTTTCATAATCCATTATTAGCACCCAACGATAATCTAAACACAATTGCATCTTTTGTGACCAAATACCAGTAGTTTTCTCTAATTGTAACAAACGCCTCATGCCGTCTGCTGGATAGACAATACCGGAATCTTTATTTACGGTAAACGTCGCCAGGTGCTCAAGCAAATAGGTGGGTTTATCATGTAATATTGTGTCACTATCATCGTTGCGTCCAACGCTTCCGCCACCATCTTCTCCACCACTTCGAGACTCACGTTCATCACCCGAAAAACCTCGATGACTACCAGCATCGCCAATGCCTCCATCAGCTCCGTTCGAATGAGAATATGACATTATGAACGAGCCTTTTCAAAATAATAGTTTCAAATTACAGGCAAAAATTTTACTTTTTATGACCCCAGAAATAAACATGAAACAATATATAAATTGCTGTAAATAAATAAAAACACAAATATTAAGGAAATTTACATTTTTGCTGAGAATTGTACAAATGTATATTGGTTATTTTTCGGATAATGATTTTTCTCTTATAACACTGTTCTTAAACAAATATACTATTTAGAAAATTAAAAACATCATTTACAAATTGTATAACACAATTAAAAAAATTTAGCTCAAATCTAACAAATTTTCTACTTCATAGGGCGGATTTTACTGTACATTCTTTTTAGTTTAATCAAAAATTTTGTGATTTTCAGTGCTCAGTTATTTTGTTTTTTTATCTTAGTTTAACTGAGTATGATTGGCAAGTTAAACTTAATTTAAAAGAGAGGAAACATAGTATTATGTATTTGTTTTGTCAATAATATAAATGCTTCAAATGTTTATTTTATTATACCCTCCACCACCAACAGTGGTGAGAGAGTATATATAAGTTTGTCATTCCGTTTGTAACACCGAGAAATATTCATCTGAGACCCAACAAAGTATATATATTCTTGGTCCTTATGAAATTCTGAGTCGATTTAGATACGCCCGTCTGTCTGTCTGTATAAAACACGCTCACGTTAAACATAAAATATATATATTTATATAAAACACGCTCACGTTAAATATTTCCCGAAATTAATTTATTGTTAATAACTTCCGAAATAATGCCGATATCGAAGTTTTACAAATTTAAATTCTATGCCAATAGAATTCATATAAATTACCTAATAACGATATTCCTACAAACTTTGGCACAAATATTGTTTTTACCTACAAAAATCTTACTGTACATTTTTTTCACGATCCGTCCACATAGCTCATAGCTCCCATACAAGGTCTCCTTCTCAAAATCACTTAAACGTATAAAACTCATTACCAAATAAAGCTATCCATACAAAATTTAGCACAAACATTGCTTTTATGTACAGAAATGATATTGTAAAATTTGTTTACGATCGGTCCGTAATTGCTCGTAGCTCCCATACAAGGTCCCCTTTCGAGAATCACTTAAACGCATAAAACTAATTACGAAATAAAGATATCGATACAAAATTTGGACAAATATTGCTTTTATCTACAGAAATCTTATTATAATTTTTTTCCACGATCGGTCCATAATTGGTCATAGCTCCCATTTAAGATCCCCTTTCGAGAATCACTTAAACGCATATTACTATTTACCAAATAATAATATCCATAAAATATTTGGCACAAATATTTATTGTTGAATTTTGTCATACATATAGTTTAGGAATCCACTGTGTTGAAAATCGAAATCAGTCCACAATTTCTTGTACTTCCCATAGAGATTAAAAAATTGATTATTTTTCGCAAAAAATTAAATAAAAACTGTCCAAAACTAACTGGATTCGAACTTAAAATCTCCCAGTTGCTAGTTTTACACCATTCCCACTACACTATTAACTAGCTTCGTAATTGTTTGCAACTAATGTTCACATAGAAATTCTCTTTCCTGTTTGTGCAAAAAATTGTTGTTAACCCAAGATCAAATAAAATGTGCACATTGAGAAAGTGTAACTGTTTAATTTCTTCTGCTATTCATCAACGTCAGTGTTGATAAAAGTTATTCAGCAGCAATGTTTTGTATAAACAGATAATAAAATGTAATTTTTATATGAAAAATATTAGTTAAGGAAGGACAAAATAATGAAGTGGTGTAGTGGATGGAATGGAGAATTAACAAACTGAGCGTTGCCGGTTCGATTCCTGGTCGATTTATATTTTTTTATCATAAATAATAATAATTATTTTTTTTAATCAAATTAAGTGTCGAAATTCGGTTCAATAATAAAAATTTAAAAGCAAATTTTTTTTTTTTTTTCATAGGATCAACAATGTTGAAAATCTATTATTATTCTATTACAAAATTATATAAGTTTTATTGCCATACATTTTTCTCACACATAGAAATTATTTTAGATACAGAAAATAGGTTAACATTTGTTAAATTTAGTACGCTCTGTAACAGTCTGTTAAGTGGTAGTTTTGCTTTTAATTGCATATTGTAAAGCATAATGAAAGTAAAATATTAAGGTACATTTGAATCAATCGATAAAATTTGATAGTTTATGAAACCAGTTTAAGGGTATTTAAGGTTCGGCAAAGCCGAAAAAAGCACTCTAACTTGTTTTTTTTTTAATTTTATATTTTGCAAAAACAGCTGTTCATTGGTTATGTTTTTGACTGAAAAGTTGGAAACTAACAATATTATAATCCTATATATATATATAACAGACTGTTTGTTTGTGTGTTTGTTACGCTTTCACGGCAAAACTACTGAACCGATTTACACGAAATTTGGACCACTAATAGGTCTAACCCCAAAAGGAACAATAGGCTATATAAGATCTTTATCGGATGCCACGCCCCTTTTTACGCCCACTTTTTGTGAAACTATTATTACCCCAATTTTGCAATCACAATATGCAAAACCCACTAAACCGATTAACTTGAAATTTCGCATACCGAAAGGTATAAGCTTGGAAAGAACTATAGGCTACTAGCTGCGCGAACCCGGCATTGCCCGGATTTCTTCTAAAATAAAATTATTCTGTCTGTCATGACTATACTTTTTTAAAAGATGTCAAAATTTAGCTTATAACGATAAAATATATTTTTCTGCATTTTGTATAATACTTAAAGTCAGTTTCTGGACAAAAATGTCCCTTACAAATTTACAAATTGAAAATGAGCTTTAATTAGGAAATTTTAGCCAATTTTTAGAAACATTTAGGAAACTTTTTTTAGAAATTATACTGAAACCAGCATTCTCAATCACTGGTAGGGAACTAAGGACACTTTCAAATTTGTTGTTTTATTTTTCTCATGTGCAGTTGATTTAAAGAACTGTTCAGTTTAAATTCGGTCACACTGTACTTTGAATTGTAATGCCCCTGGTGTATAGAGACAAAATTTCAAGCGATTTTCTTTCTATTTGAAAAAGTACGGGCAATTGAAGAAACTCTGAAACGATTATGAAACATTCTGCACAAAATTATGAAAAATTTGGAAGATTTCAAATTCCTTTAAAAATAATAAAATTAAGTTTTTTTCTGTTCTAAAAAATATGAAGAATATCGTTAGATGTACAAAGGAGATACCCAAATAATTTGAATTATTATTTGTAAATGGTAAATGGAAAATGTGTGCTGGAGTTATTCAAAATTATTATTTAGTTTGAAAAGCTTAGAATAAATACTGCGCTACATACAGAAAAAGTTGTGCAGAATTTTTGGTTGATAATTTTCTAAAAATATAAAAAGATATCAAAAGATCAATTTATCCAAATTTTATATGACCAATGCTTTCTATGCATCGTTTGACAGGTCTACCTATATAAGATTTGCAAAAGTGCTGTCTTTCGGGACACTCTAATGAGTAGCCAAATACATATCTTCATGTTTTTTTTAGATTTGAGCTGCATTTGAAAAATGGCAGCCGAATTTATATCAAGATAATTCTTTGATGGCATATTTACCTGATCATAGATTTTTATTGTTATCTCGATTAACAATAAATTAAAATTTTTTATTTTTGATATAAAACTCGATTTGTATGGAAAATATGAGTGATTACTGATCTTTATTGTTTTCTCAAATTGAAAGTTATTTAAAGTAATTTTTTAAAGAGTTATATAAATAGAAATTTTAAGGGGAGATATGAATGATTTTCTAGATAGATTTAGGTGTTAAAGGAAGGAACCAGAGCCGATTTAAAATTCGAATTTAAGTGAAAATGTAATATGAATATATTATTTTCCCTATTTTAGAAGCGGTTTTTGTTCAGTATTCTGCATACAAATGTGGCATCGTAGACATTCATTTAAGATCTAATAAAGATTCTGTTTTAAAATAGTTATTTTCTGAGAATATATCATGTTCTTTAGCATTATAAATGTAACAAAAAGTGGACGGAAAAAGGTCATTGCATTTAATTAAGATCACAACAGGCCCGAAATTAGTCCTATAGGTGTATTTATTCGGATTTGGTGCATTAAACATTCTCTTCCTCAAACATTGTATGTTGCCAAATTTCTTGAAAATCGGTTCAAGTTTTTTTATATTAGCCTAGAAATTTGGTGTTATAGCAGTTATTCAAAAAGTGAACATAAAAATGTGCGTATCATCCACTCAATATCATATAGAGTTTTTTTATACCCTCCACCATCATCAGTGGTGATAGATGGTATATATAACATTGTCATTCCGTGTGTATCACCAAGAAATATTCATCTGAGACCCAACAAAGTATATATATTCTTGATCCTTATGAAATTCTGAGTCGATTTAGCTATGTCCGTCTGTCTGTCTGTGTAAAACACGCTCACGTTAAAACAAAGCCAGAAATATTCACGAAACTCACCCAAAACATTCCCTATTATCTGGTCCAGTTTGGGATTGAAAATCAGTAAAACCGGTTCACGACGTAAAAAGTTGTGATTAAAAATTTCAGACTACCTCGAAAAATAACGTTTTTTTTCCCAATTCTTAAGTAGTTTTCTCAGAAACTACCAAAGATACTTCGATGAATTTTGTCACACAATATTTTTTTGTGCCACGGATCAAGTATGTTCAAACTCATAACAATTGAACCAATATTTCCCATAGCCTCCATACAAAGGTGTATATTCCCGGATATAAGTTTATCGTTAATAACTCCCTCAAATATATCGGTATCAACACAATATTATATACATACAAATATAATATGAATAGAAATCATAGCTCCCATGTAAGGTCCACTTCTAAAAATCACCTAAACACACATATTTCATTGACAAATAAAGCTTTTGTGATAAAATTCGAGCTGAATATGTTTTGTGTACATACAAATCATTCTACCAAATTTCTTTTCGGATCGGTCCATTATTAGTCATAGCTCCCATATAAGGCCCACTTCCGAAAATCACTTAAACGCACATATTTCATTGTCAAATAAAGGTATCTTGATAAAATTCGACACAAATATGTTTCGTGTAT